AATTAGGCTTTACATGAATCCTTCTTACAGGAGGCTGAGGCACGTGTGATGCACTTAAAGCTTGCACTTCAACAACACAAGCAAGCGATAATACACAGAATTATAGGGTTTGTGATCAGCTTGCCATGATCCGATAATGTGCAGTAATAAAGAGAGAATTCTTTGTCCTTGTTGGCTCAAGGGATGAATACAAGAGCTTCATCACCTCAGTGTTACTGCCAAGCCTCCATTGCGTAGACGCTTATTATATATTACCATGTAATAATTGTCAAGTCAATAGCATATGCAAAGTCAGGTTTTACACACACCACTCCCCCCCTTCTTTCACGAAAGAATATCTCTCAAATGGGAAAAAAAAAGGTATGCTATGATATGACATGAACTTAGGAATCACTAGTCCCTACAATGAATCGGAAGAGACCGGGGGATTCGGTATAGCTAAGGGTGTTAATAATATGTGCTTAATAAAATGTATTATAATCGGAAATCCTTTGTAATCGGGCAGGTTTATAAGCCCACATTTTGTATAGGGTCTACTAACCTTTTTTGTACCGAGAGACCCGCCTAGAGGGCTCTCTCGGACAACCACAATCTGTACCCCAACTTCTCTAATGCAATTCAAAGATTAACATTTCAAAAAAAATTAAAAAAATAAAAAAATAAAGTGTATAATAGTCATTTCATATTATTTTTACCATGTGATAATTGTCAAGTCAATGCATATGCATAAATACAAATAAATATATATATATATATATATTATTGTATCATGTAATTATTGTCGAGTCAATGGCATATGCAAAGTCGGGTTTTACACACACCACTCTGCCCCTTCTTTCATAAAAGAATCTCTCTCCCTCTCTCTTTCATGCCATGCTTTTCTAACAGAATCAGTCATGTGAAGTCCTAAAGAGTAAGGAATTTGAGAGAGAGGACGTAACTTAAAGGAAGATGGGAGGCATCTTTTGGAGTTTAATTTCAATTTTTTTTTTCATTGCTTGTATTAAAAGAAGTTGGATCCCCCATCAAGTGGAGGTTCTGGTGTATAGCATTTTCTTATGAAAGAAACAAGGAGAGAACTTCTCTTCTCCATTGATGTGCAATTGCGAACCTAAATATTCCGCCATTATTGAGCATTCTGCAATTGTTCGAGGATCGAAAAGATGATGGATTTACAAGAATTGACAATTTCAAAAAGAAAGATGATGGAATTAATTTCTTTCCTTCCTTTCCCATCATTTTTTTTGGGACCGAAACCAACAAAATCAACTAAATAAACAAACACATGCGCATGAAAGTGTATATCAACTTATTTAGAACATTAATAGCATACAGCTGTGCATTACAAACAAAGGAGAGTGGGGAAATAATGAACCCATGAGTTTTGAATTGGATAGAGATACTGATAGATTTGCATTATAAGAATAACCAGAGAACGTATGTGAAGATTATTGAATGATAAGACGTGACATAGAGAGGGAAATATAAGGGAGCTAGATTTTAGGAAATAGAGACTGTGATTAAAATTAAGATGGGGGAAGTGTTTTAAAAAGCGGACCGCCCAACGCCTAGGCGGTCTAGAAGACCTAGGCGCCTCGCTTAGGCCTAGACGGCGAAATTAGGTAGGCTGTCGTTGGGCACCCGCCTAAGCACCATGAAACCTGCCTAGGCGGGTGCCCAGCCCTGAGCAGCTGCTCAAGGGCTGAAATGCCCCTCGTTGAGGACATTTTTTGGTCTTTTATTTAATACTAAAGGGTAAAATCATGGGTTTTAGGTTCATTTGAAACCTAAACCCATTAGAGTCTATTTTAGAGAGAAAAACCCCAAAAAACTAGTTTTTAGTGATTTCTATAGGATCAAAGGGTTTCTCAAAGTTACGAGAAATTGATCTAAGCATCACCCATTGATATTAAAATTAGTGGCCTATCAAACTATGAAATTATGGAGTATGGAGGAATGTGTGCTATGTGGACTTGTGTACTATACATTTGATGTGCCCTTAATCCCTAACTCTTATGTGTTATACAGTTATCAATGTTCGCAAAAATCGAACCGGAATGGTTAACCGGACATGGGCCTGGAAGCGTTTAACCAACCTAACCGATAAACCGGCTGATTCAACCGCTCTAATCGGGCAAGTCTTGAGCAATCAAAAAGTGTTGAAAAAATAAAAATGATATAAAAAAAAAATTCTACCAACATATAAAAAGCATATAAAGAATGATTAAAACAAAACACATTCAAATGAAGTCGAAGATTAATGAAAAAAATGGATTTTAACTAATCAATTTGTGCCTATGGGTATTTTTAAAATTTTTTGAAAAAGAAGGGAAAATATAAAAGTGAGTATTAACGACCAAAACAATTTTTAATATTTACCATAATGTAAAGAATATTAAAAAATGCATTACAAATCAAATTCTTCATTTTTAAAAATTTATTTTCATTTTTTTTACTGTTTTTTTTTAAATACGTGGCTGATCACCAAAACCGGAACTCGTTGGTTCTAATCTAACAGGGCGGTAAGCGGTTAGCGGTTAGATCACCGGGTTTGCGAACACTGACAGTTATACTTATACTATTAAACTATAGAGATATTTTTCTTTCTACTGGGCCGCCCCGGTTCTGGGCGGCCTAGACCTCCCCGGTCACCTAGGCGCCGCCTAGCATTTTTTTGAAACACTTGATTAGGGGGGGGGGAGGAGAGAGAGAGAGTTATTCGGATTTGCCATATTATTAAATCCAAATAAAATTGGCAGCAACTGAAAGATACAATAACAGATAAGACAATTAGAAGGTACTATAGATGTTGTGAAGAAGGGTATCATCATTTGTTGGAACAACAACAAACTCCAACGGGGAAAAATGAGTAATTAAGAGGTGGAGTGTTCAATTTTCTTTTTTTTTTGGTACTGAGTGAAGTGTTCAAATTTTATTGAGCTGAAACCTCCGCATGATAAAATTGACAAGATAGCATTGTTTTAAATCTCCTCTAGAAGCTCTGTTTGAGAAGCTCTGTTTTGGAGAGGCCCCTCCTTATGACCAACTCATGATATATGGCTCCAAGTGGTTCCCTAACATAACTAGCTAGCAAGATTTGAATGCCACAATGCAATTGCGTACAATGATCAGTCACCCGCCTGTCATGCCCCAAAATGTTCCTATGCTTTGTCCCTATGATGCCTTGTACAATATTGCACAATAGCCCTTTTTTTTAATCACTTGGGTCCAGAATATTCTAAATAACTCTGGTGGGTTCATGAATGGTCTAGAGGGTTTCTAGATATATCCTAAGGGAAGGGTTGTGTAGAACACTCTAGAATTTTGTATAATCTATAAGGTTTCTAGCCATTGGATGTGTGACATGTGGATGAATCTTAACCGTTGCTCGTAAGGCCTAGTGCCTATATAAAGTGGAGGGCCCCTCATTTGTTACATACCCTAGAAGAGTGAAGACCTCAGAACTTGTAAGCTCGAGTCTTGAGTTCTAGTGAAATACAAAGTTCTTACTCTTCAAATTGTGTGCATCTCTCTCTCGTGTGCTAATGCATATCGTGCTTGTGTTCGTTGTGCTAGTGGGTGTGGGTGGTGCACACTAGTGGCTATCACTTCGTGCTTGGTTGGTGGTTGGTGCACACTTGTACTCGTGATTGAGAAAGTTGACTCGTCCTCGACAGACTGAGGTGCGAGTGCCACACGGTCGAAGTGTGGGGTTCACTAGGGCCATGACACGCTGCTACAAAATTAATACAATAGTTTTTTTCTTTTTATCATTATAAGGTAACACATATAGAAGAAGCTGATATCCCCAATTATGTCAAGGTGTTTCCGTGCAGTCCTAGTTTCTTTGATCTGATCAACCTCAGTAAATCATCTCTTTGGCTTATAATAAGAGGTATGACTATTCCTCCCTAAAGGGAGATGTTCAGTAAGTTGTTGGTGAGGAAGGCACATGTATATGAACATTGAAATATCCCAAAATGGAAAAGCACCAATCTAAACACCAAGATTTCAGTCTCAAAATCCAAGTCCTGGTTAACCATGTGTAAAGTCTCTTTTCCCCCTTTATTTTACGGCTCTTTGAGCACTAATCCATATCCTTCATTCAATGGGAAATAGCTGAAATTCAAGGAACCTACTCTAGTACAGCCCCTACATCTACAAAGGATAGAGTTTGCTTCCAACCATAATCAATCTAAGAGATCCTTTCTTTCTTATAAATGTTCCAATGTTCCCCAAGTTCTCCATGTCACACATTCTCTTGATGCTACTGAACTCAAGAAGAGTCCATCCTTCAATTCCATTCAAGAAAACCACCCCCTTCACTTTTACCTCCTCCCATAATGAGCAAGCAAAGGTAAGTGTAAAGCCCCAGTAGTAGGGTTAGTTAAGGGATCAACATCACTAGCCCTTTCCATAGGCACTCATTGTTGACCTCGATTCCACATAATTATTTTCAATCACATAAAACTTGGACATGTGAAAGGTCAATGGGCAATGCAGTTACAAAGCTTTCCATGTAGTCCCACATTCATTGTTAGCATGCATGCAACATTCTGCTGTTCAAGAAGAAACAAGAAAAGAAAAAAACATTCTCCATTTCTCTATGCAGAGCCTCACAAGCACCCACCGGTATTTAGCTTATTACAGAAGAGGAAGTGCCACATAAAGGTTGTTTAATGAATTTAGAAACCAAGTGCCATAGCCTAGTGGTTTGAAGCTCTTAGTCCCATCCCAAATGGTGGAGGTACGAACGTCCAAAATGACAATCAAAAGATATATTCCAAGAAATAGGCTCCTTCACAGTTCATATACAGAATACATTATGTGAAAGGTCGTTTCAAAACCAAAAGCTCATATTGCCAGAAATGTTATCACAAGTCTACCATTATGAAGTACATCAAATTCCCCCAAAAGTAGAAAATTATCTGAAATATGGTAAGCAGTAAAATCAGAAGAAAAATTGGCCTGAAGCCAGTAAAAAGGCCAATGGGAGTTACCTATCAGTTCGATTGCATCATCAAATGCTAAAGTCTTATCTTCTTTGAGGCAGTAATAGGTAAAAGAGTTCTTATAGAGATTCTGACAAGCAGGCACAGTCTGCATCACGTGACAAAAGAATGTTCAGATAAGCAGAAATCAGGTCACTTTGCCTTCCCAAGACTCAGAAGAAAATGGATGTACCCAACAAAATATAACTTAGAGGCAAATCTGATCACCTAGAATTTTTCATACTATAAATCGACAAGAAATTAAAACATGGTTACAATATTAGAACAAATAATGTTCTCCTAAAAAGATATTTCATTTATCACTGCCACCCAACTGCATAACGCATATGACAAAAACACTACTAAACTTTTCTAGGACAACCAGTAACAAGTTGCGCTTTCAGATAAGCAGAATGGGGTACAAATAATCAGAAAGACCAAAAGAAAAATGAGAAGGAAAAGGCACAATCAGAACTCAGCACCAAGATAAACGAATTGCCAAACTATGTAAGCAAATATCAAATCAACAAGTTCAGACAGTGGAACAAATTAACCACATTGCTAAAACATTTCCAGTTCTGAGGCCCTCTGTTTATTGCCTAACAGAAGTACAGATATTCTTGTCGGTGTTGAACTATTACGCATATTTATCGCAATTTTCATTACACTATACAAATAACTTACTCGTCTCAGATTAAGGATAGCAAGATACTTAAATGTGGAATCCATGATTTCCAACACAAATATGCATAGGTAAGATATGGACACTATCTTGCGCTTTTGGACATATCACAAAGAATTTTAACCGTCAATTTTTTTAATATTTTACTGGAGAAAAGGGCAAACAAATAACTAGTAAGAAATGACAACTGCAGGAATTGAGAAGCATTTTCATCAATACAAGCGGCAGCCTCACATACGATTTGTTGACATCTTCTCACTATACCAACCTCCATTGGTCAAATTCGCATTCAAAATAGCGTCCCAAAAAATTCGAAATCAAAATCTAAGAGAACATTGGAATCAAATATTCAGGGAATAGAATTCCAATGCCCTAAATCTCTTGAATGCTCCACCTCTTCAATAGTAATGAGATCCTCAAAGGCCATGATTTGGATCAGTCCGCCTGTTGCCTTCTTTCCATATTCTTCACCCTCTTCCAAAATCTCTTTATCATCATATTGATCCTTATCATAGATCGGATCTCCTAGAAGATCTTGTTGTTCAACTGCGTATATATCGAAAATTGGTGGTGAATCCCAATCTACAATTTGCTGACTTTCCATGAAATCTGTGTCCAAAAAAAAAAAAAATCATCCTCCAAATCGAAACCCTACAGTGATGTTCCTCACGTCTAGGGCTATCCTCATCACCTGACTCCACACTCGAAACGCGAAAGTGAAAAGGCTTGTACTCGAGATCCTCTTAGGCTTAAAGATCACCGTCTTGCCCATTATTGAGGCTCACGAACTGTTGCTCCAGCTGTTGTACTTTCCTTTCAAGTTCCTCAATTTTGTCATCTATAACATCATGGAGTAGATCTATGAAAATCCCCCTACTATGGCCCCTTCTCAATGCCATAGGTTCGTCAAAATCACAAACCCTAGGCAAATAATCAACAAAAATTGCTGAAATCAACAAAATCTAAGTTGTTTTGACAAAACTTTAGCCAAAATCAACAAACCCTAGACCCCACTATAACTTCTTCTCTTTGTTGTTGAACTAGGGCACCAAAAAAAGTGGTGCTACATTAACTCCGTACATGTTACAGTAACTCCGTACATGTTACAGTAACTTCCGTGTAGATCGTGGGTTCTGATACCACTTCATGTAGGAGAACTTGAAGAAACAGAGAAAAATCAGCAAGAAGCACCTTGACACAAGCAATTGTGGAGAAGCCCTAAGGTTTTCTCCCGCCTGGGGCTCAAGCCTTAGGCTTCTTTTACAAGACAAAGACTTTCTTTTCTTAAAGACGAATACACAAATGCCTCTCCAACCCATTCATGCCCTTATTAATAATAGAAAATTATTGTATTGGACAATATTTGTCCATACAATTAACTCTTGACCAAAAGGTCCTAACTTAAGTATAACTTGAAACTACACTCCCTAACTTTAATTAAAATATTTGAAGAGTCTCCCTAACTGATCCAACAATAGAATAAAAAAAAAAAACTACAAAAACCCCATAATTCTTAAAAATTAAAAATCCTAAAAATAAATCCCAAAACTAAAATCAAAGTATATATCCTTTAAAAGTCAATAGAAATTAAAAATAAGTCTAATTTTTCCGTCCATCATTATCTCACTATAGTTGTTCACGCATTAGTGGTAGTAATTGGTAAGGCTCAGAAAACCCCATAGAATCTTGAGGTTGCTCAGAAGCAACCAAGAAATAATAATTTTGATATTTATTAAGAGACTCTCCTAGAATTTTCGAATTTTCTAGGACAAAACAAATAAAGAGGCTTCTGCAAACAATGGCCATGATGGATGCCACTGGTTCTTCAGAACTGTTGGCATGGTTGTATGGCCCTTCTTCTAGAGTGTAAGATGCAAAGCAAGATCAGACATCAACTTGATTGAGTGCAAAAAACCGGTCTACAAGGCATAAGCAACTACTTTCATCAGCATCCCACTCATCAAATCCAGGAAACTCCAGCGTAGTTATTCTAGGAAGCATTGGTTGCATATGATTGCCAACTACCCGTCAAGGTACCAAACAACAGATTGAAGGAACATGTTGATGAGATAGGAACTAGCAATCTAGCACTGTTTTTTTGTTGTTTCACTAAGTTTATTTCGTCTTACACAAGGTTTACCATGTCATCACAGCATCAAACTTATAATCCACTGCCATGACCATAGAGTGGATGCCTAATAATGTATACGATTGTCCAGCAACTCTGCACTTCAGCTGAGTTCATATTCGAATTCAATATCTTTGCTTGGCTGCCAAGGTGGTCTCCATGCACAAGGTCTAAGTTCTCAGGATGGTAGTATATTACTAGACATTATGCCCCTAACAAAATAAGAAAATATAAAAAGAAATGAAACATCCTATGAATTTTTTTTCCTAAGAAAACACGAAGGAATCAGGACAAAGGAGAAGGATCCATGAACAACACCTATCTAAGCAGACATCAGTCTATTATCACGGGTTGGGATCGCAAGTACCATAAGGTATTGAGTTGTCATCAATGATAAACTTAATATAAGAATGCAAGAGGGAGTCACTTCAATAAAAAATTAACAAATTGAGGGAACTCACCACTTATATTGCATATAACCTCAAACTCTCATCCAATATCTTTGCAGCAAAAATGTATCAAGCAACAATCAATTGTAAACCATGCTTACTCTAATGATCAATTTGGAGCTTCCTTGATTCGATGGAGGCAACGTCTATTAACTAAATATTACATGAAAAAACATTGTTGTGCATTCAATAAAGTTCTAGTTAACTCCAATTTTAATCTCACATCATTCCATCTAGAGGAGTAAGTCATACACTATGTCAATTCAAAAAGACTAGAAGTACCCATCACGGCTAGATTTGTGGAAGCCCTATGCATACGTGTCAAACCTAAACTAGAAATGTTAATGGCAGGTTTAGCAAGGACATACTTCGATGTCATAAACAGAACACTCCCAGTTGTTTATTAGTGTACTAAGGAGGAAATCAGCCATGACATGCAGATGGCCAGGCCCACAACCCTATAGAGCACTTGTTTGGCCTGCTTATTAGAGGAGCAGCTCTAAGTCTTGATAAAACCTCTGAGGCCAAAGGCCCAAATGGTTAGAATGGTTCAAAAAACATAAAAATCCTTCACTCTGCAATACCTCATCCATAATGATTGACACCTGTTGCAATGAAGCAATGATCGATTGTAATGAGAAATATATCCCTAGACATGCAGTAAAACCTAGAGGTTAATCCTTCTCAATGGCAACCTTGTGGAAACCATGGCAGATGGTGAAGAAGAACAGATAACAAGCAAACAATACAGGCTAATGAGATGGAGAAAAACCCTGGGATCTCCCTAAAGGCCTCGACAAGAATTTCACAACGCAAAATTGGGCAGGTAAAAGGTAATCTCAATATTGTTATTTTCATAAGTTCGAGTAGCAGTCACAAAATTCTGGACCTCAAACTCACTAAACAAGTTGCTAAACAAGTCAGCAGTTACATTTCCCCATGTAATCATTATTTTGATAAGTACATGTACAGTCAACATTTTTTTTTTGAAAATGTTAACATTTTATTAAAGGGGAGCATTACATGGTTACGGGATTCTAAAGTCCCCCACGCGGGGTGACTTGGTAAAAAATGCCTAAGTCTATCATGTACAAAATGGGGCTTATAAAATCCGCCCAATTACATCGATTTACATGAAGCTTTTAAAAAATACAGCAGGGTTGGAAGTTGCTGAGAGACAAGATGTTTAAGCTATATTCCAGGGGTCCTGAGCAAAAAGGTGATGGATGCGGCTTCAGTTTGTCCTTGGCTTCCTTGGCTTCTAGCTCCCTCTTTCGCCAACAGATCAGCGAAGACGTTGGACGTCCTCCATATATGCTTCCAGGAGACATCCATAGCCCTGAAATGTGATCAATTTCGTCAAAAATAGAGGTTAAGTGCCATGGTGGGAAACACATCCTACTTGCCCAGGAGAGGACATTTTGTGAGTCTCCTTCCACTATCAGGTGTGAGCCCCAAGAGTGATTGAAACTTTTCAAGCCTATTAAGAGGGCCACGGCTTCTGCGTGTTGGGAGTCTTTGAGACCAAGATGTTCAGAAAAAGTTTAAGAGGATGTTGCTTTGATGGTCTCTAAAGACCCCCTGTGCCCCTGCCTGGCCAGGATTCCCCAGGGAACAACCATCAAAATTCAGCGTTGATGATGCCTTCTGGAGGTGGTTGCCAGTCATAGGGTCTTAGTGCCAGTCGCGGTTGGTGATGAAGGATATTTTGCCATTGGCTGAGGAAGAAGCTCTCTGGTATGCCCAAAACATCCTAGTGGTTAAGGGCCCAGAAAGTGACAAAAGAGATTACCTTGTGTAGGTGTAGATGTGTGGAGTTTTGCACTTTGAAAGATTCTAGTATTTCTTTCCACCCAGACTGTCCAGATTGTTGCGGCGATAGTAGCCTTCCATAATATTCTTCCAGCCTTTGGCCAACAAGAATGTAAGTCGTAAGAGATTAAGGCCTTGACCATAAGAAGGGTGACCCATTTGATGCCAAAGAGCTGCAACACCTGGCCCCAAAGTTCGTGGGTAAAGTCGCATAGAATAAATAAATGGGGATTAGATTCCTCCTTGCAGAGGCACAGAGCACATCTATTGGGGATCAGGATCCCTCTCTTTTGAAGATGATCCACTGTGAGAGCTCTTTTGAAGATGATCCACATCTACAATCACAACATTGTGGACCTTCAGTTAGCTCAACAAGTCAAAAGTTACATTTGCTCCTATGATCACTTTGAAGTCATGTGGCTAATCAGGCAATCCGGATCAGGTATCGGCTAGACCATTCTGGATCCAGCCATAAAACGGGATTTGTCGTTTTTCCTTGTATTAACTCGAGGTGATGACATCACAAATTGTTGAGTCCACCAATTATGATGTCAGTGACCCCGTACAGTGCCATTCTTACATCATAAATTGACACATCACCGATACATCTGCAGCTCCGGCGTCATAAACTATAACACGTCCACATTGCTTTTACGGTACATCTGCATCTTTTTAAATTCGTCATAAACCAACACGCCATAAGTGGTCCCCACTTTTGTTTTAAAATGTTGACTTGAGGGAAATTATTTCTCAAACCTCAAGCCACATGGGACAACTTTGATGTGCTCCACAATAATTTTATAGCATGTTACCCAAGCTTATGGGTTCGATGTGCCCACCCCTCCCTTCACATTAAAGCCCTGCCCCCGAAATATAATGCCCCCCACATGGTATCTCTCTCCCCCCTAATAACCCCCCCCCCCCCCCAACCTCTCTCTCTCTCCCGCCTTGGTATCTATCTTATTATAATTAATAATTATACTAATTATATTGATAATCAAATTTCATATTTTATTTGTAAATTTATTTATATTATAAACTATAATGTATTTATATACTAATTATATTGATAATCAAATTTTATATTTCATTTGTAAATTTATTTATATTATGAACCATATAATGTATTTTTTTGTTATAGTTGTAAATTAGATCTTTTAAATTAGATGATATTACAAGACAAATTTTAAATTTATTCTTATTTTTATAGTAAAATGATTATAAAATATAAACCAATAATTCCAATTTCAATGTATAATATTATAGTTAGTTAGGTTGTGATAATTTTGGACGAGTAAAGAGAATTAATAAAGACAATTTCTTGATGTGATACTAATTTCACTTTATATGAGAAATTATTATTTTTAATCTTATAATATCAAAGTGTTTCCTAATATTCTTTAATTATTTTTATACAATACTATAATATTATATTATAACTAATAATTATACAGACATCCAGATAGGAAAACAACATCTTAGTGTATTCACTTATTTTTACAAAGTAATGAAAGTACATAATGCATCACTCTTAATTTCTTTTAGAATATAAAAGAACACTATTTTTAGAGATTTATAGCGATTTTTTGAAAAAAACTTTGGGACAGAACTTGCCGATTCAGCCAATTCTCCGATCCGATATAGGTGAGACCGATTTGAATCACTGATCCATTTTTTAAACATTGGGAAATACTATACTCTAAAAGGTTTAGATATGTGTCCAAATAAGGTTATAAGTAGACATGAATGGAATATGGAGAGGGTGATCTATAACAAAATGCAAGGAGTAGTTGCACACAATTTAAAAATTAGACAAGTTGACGTAGGACTCACCTGAGCCAAATAACATCAAACTCGGTTCATTTCTTATTCTTCAAATGTTTTTCCCCCCCCATTTGCATTAGGTCAGCTGTGGTATTCAAACACTTGGCATGAATTTGCAATTATCAGCATCATAACCAAGCAAGCTCATGCCCCAATCCCACTATGTCTTTATCTCTCTATGTTAGTTCTGTAAGATTCAACAGCGTAATGTTCAAGTTTTTGTGGTAGCTCAGGTCCCAACAATGCTTGCACATGCATAACCTTTAGAGGGGTAGCGCAGTCCTAAAGCCTAACCCTTTGAAACTCATTCCCCTATTGGAATTATTTCCAAACTATTTTGAGGAGCTGACCACCAGGGCATTCTCATTTTCTTCCTTACAATTATCCTTAATCAAGAATGAAATAAGCAAAGAGGTAAATATTAGATGTTGGGCTTAGCCATCTAAGCATGAATTCATCAGTTATGAATCATCAGTTATCAACAGTTTCCCTAGTGCACAAACGAGGAATGGCACATGCATGTAGACTATCAAACATTAACCATTTCCTCAAAAAAATAAAAATAAAAAAATAAACAAAGACAATCAAGGATAAGTTTGCCATCCCAGTTATTAAACATGCATAGATGAACTTCATGGAGTGAGAAACTTATGGGAAACAGCTAGTAGATCAACAAGGGTTGGTTTAAGAGATAAGGATAGGGTAGTTTGGACATACAAAATAGGTTTGCAAACTGCTTTGCATTTAATAGAATATACCAAGGGTTGGTTTTGTGGGGGTATAAGCTCTTCTGGAATCATCAAACTTAAGGAGGTGGCTCCTGGAGGAGACCTTACCATCCCAAAATTTATGGTCTGTTATTATTTTCAAGAATAAAACTCTCTTATTTTTATGGGATGAAAACAGGCAATGAGGGTTATCTTGTTGACATGCTATCCAAAGCATAAGTCCCATTTATTTTTTGCGAATTTGTTAACTTATAAGTCCCAGTTATTTATTAACCAAAGCCTGATGAATAGAATATTTTGGAGAAGTAAAAATGGAAGATAAAGAATTTGTGATTTGAAGAAAATATGATATTAACTTTTCTTTATTTATATATATTTGATATGACAAGAACTTAAACCAACAAAATGACCTAGTCATACCATAAAAACACAAATCATAAAGAAGAAAGAGGATATATGTGCAGTAAGCCTGAAGAGGCCTTGTTTAGCCTATCACTGAAATCAAGTCCACAAAGGATACATGAAAACTCAGTGCCAATTTACACAGTACCAGAACAGCAGAAAGAACCAAAATCAGTGATCATGAGAGCAAATTATCAATCCCAATCCTAACACACACTCTTCAATCTTCAATCTCAAAACCCAATAACCCATAAGGAAAACCAAGAACTCAATTCACAAACCCCACTCATCGAATACAAAGAAGAAAGAAAACAAAACTAGTTTGCATGGGGAAATCAAATAAAGAAACCCAATAAACTCATAAGCAAACCATGGAATCCAAAGACAACCCATCAGATAGATATAGATATATATATATATATATATATATATATATATAAAGAGAGAGAGAGAGAGAGAGCATACATTAATAATTCGAGTAATCCCTTGAGTTTTAAGGAGCTCTGCGCGTGAAGCGTTATCGTAGCTGCCCAGAAAGAGGAATTCAGGAAGAATCTCAGTTGGAAAAGCACTGAATTGATGAGAGGGCTTCTCAAGTGTGGCCTGAATACGGTGGCCACAAACCCCACAAACTTCTCCCTCCTCATACTTGTGATAATGCCCACAAATTCCACATGGGTTCTCTCTCTCCCTCTTTCTCATGGTACTGGTGGCGGTGTCAATCAAAAGACAAGAAGAGAAAGGACTCACTGTCGCAGTTTCTCTCTCTAGATACAACAGTGAAATCTCAAACTGATAATGCAGAAAGAATCTCAATATATGCAATACTATGAAATTCTCCACTCTCTCTCTAGGAGGAAAATGGACTCATTTATTCGTAAGAAATGTGGAATAAAAGAAACCCACTAATTGAGAGCTCAACCTCGCATTAACGGTTTTGATCGTTTTGGCAAGGACAGCGAATCCAGAAGACTGGACAACCCAATTTTTGAGCCAGGGAGATGCCTAACTGCATTTATAGGGAAGACAGATAGAGAGAGAGTGAGTGGGGAAGAGAGAAGAATGCAAATGCTCAAATATATTATGCTCCAGAGGAACTACACTGTTTATTTACTCCATGTGGAAAAAGTTTATATAAAGCCGAGGCTCTAAACAATCAAACGAAGCTTATCTAAAAAATTTCATTAGAAGAGGTTGTTTTGATGCCCAAACATCCTCAAATTGATCATCTCCACATTAAGATGCATGGACATGAGAAAAAAATGAATTTTAAGTTTTGAAAATAGTACATCTTGTAACACATTTTTTGACTGTCAATTTTTAAGATTTTCAAGTTTTCATAGATCTACTCGATATACGCTATTTTTTAAGATTTAAGTTCTATAATTAAATATAAAAATATATTTTAAGGCTATCATAAAGATTTTCTGTATTAAAACCACCTTTTTCGATATTATTTGAAGGTGTGCTTTATTTTAATCATTTACAGCCTCAGTTCTATAAAAACCTCACCCTTTCTTAATCACAATATGTATGCACTTAAAAAAAAAAAAAAAAGTAATGTCCTCGAATTGAACTGAGACCGTCTAATTTTTAGAGGTTAAGATCTCAATGTTCAAAACTCTAAATTTAAATTTTGTTTCTTTCAATAATAATTCTCTAGTAATTGTTAAGTGGTTCTCAGAACTTTACATTGAAAAGATAGGTTTCTAACCAACGGAGTAGATGTACATTACGGTCCCGCAGGAAACTCGTAGGATAAGTCCGAATCACAAGAAGGGGAGAGAGAGTGAAAGAGACCCTAGATCTTTTCATCTAACGACACTTGCAGCAAAGAAGGGGCGTGACGAAATCACCTTCGGTATTTGACAACAGTGGTAACACGCACATGAAGAAGATCAAGATCAGGGAAGAAGATAAAAGGAAAAATGTATACATATTTTAGGTGGCCCGGCATTTACATCAGCAGGTAGCATCTCTTTATGATTGATTGGATGTAAGCACCAAAAGTATAAAGCATCACAAGTTTAAACATTGAACTCCTAGCGGCTGTCATGCACCTGCACCCCATGGACCTTCACCCCCTAGTTGGTGTCGTGCACCTTCACCCCCTAGTTGGTGTCATGACAAGAAAGACTAGTGATATGCACCTGCATTGCATGTATAATAAATATTAATCTTTAAAACATAATTTTAATTTTAGAATAAAAATTTCAAAAATCTTACTCGATCATAGAGATGGTCTATAGAAATAGAGATTTTGATTGATTCATCGGCTTCTTTTATACGCTAAATATTTTTTATATTCTCAATTACATTGTTTTCTATCCTACTCTAAAACTATTATTAATTATATAAGTAAATATGTAATTTACATATAAGTAAATATTATTCTAAAAATAAAAAATAAAAAAATAAAAACATATCATATAAACTTCAAAATATGATTATAATTCTATTTATACATGCATTTTAAATTAATTATTTTTTAAAAATAATTTCAAGTATATTATTTGGATGGAAGTAATGAGAAGAAATATGTTGACTTATGGTATGATTGATGGTATGGCTTTTGATTGAGCGAAATGGCATAACATGATTCGTACAGCCAACCAAATTATTGGGATAAAGCATATGATGATGAATTTTAATTAT